GCAATGTCCTAGGAAGTGTCAATTGCCCCCCACTGCATCCCTTTTTCGATAGTTCCGAACTAGTCCTAAATTCTATAGTTCCGAACCAGTTCTAAAATCGACAGACGAAAGAAAAATGTATCATGATTTTTCAAACTTTTTGGTTCTTGAGTGTGTGCGATTTTAAGTTATTTTGGAATGAATGTGTTTTCAATTTGAAATGAAATTTATTTGAATAATTGTAAGAAATGTACGTTTACATACCTTTAGCTGTAGCTGATTTTGCAGAGGTGTTCGCTGTTATTTCTCAGATTCCAGACGGCCCCAAGATGTTGAAATGTTAACACAAATTTTAGTTTTGTATTACCAAGCTATGAAAAAGCATCTGCGAAGCACAGAAAAGAAGCGTATTTGAACGAAAAAAAGCTCCCCGCTGCATCCCTTATTCGATAGTTCCGAACTAGTTCTAAATTCGACAAATAAGATCTAGTTCGTTCTGCATCCCTTTTTCTATAGTTCCGAACCATTTCTAAATTCGTCACTTTAGATATAGATTTGTGGTGAAAAAACTGAAAAAAATTAGTTTTTTAAAAGTAACACTTTTCGCCAATTTTGGACTAGTGGGGTTCTAGTTCCTATAGGACTAGTTCCTTTTTGGCGATAAAGAACTAGTACGGAACTAGAAATTTGATTCACTAGTGCGCGGTTTCCCTGCAGGGTATATATGTACACTTGTGGTCAGCCGATTAAGTCAAGCGAAATTTTGACTAGTTTTGGCAATTTTTCTTTTGTTTATTTAATGTTTATATTTTTTTATAAAAGTTTAGCACTTTACCTAACCAGTGCCACATAAATCCACATTTCCAACTTTGTCCAAAAATTATGAAAATTCAACAAACTTTAACATTTGCACCCAAAAATTTTAAACTTTTATTTATAACTTTGGGTGTGCAGTTTTGTAGCTAATTAAATTTTAATAGGTTAAAGTGCAAATTTCAAGACGCTAGAAAATCACGTTGATTTTTAATAATTTTTTTTTTGCAGATGTTGCCAGGCATTTTCTCCCATACAAATGAAATTGTCGAGCATATTTTATGTGGAAGAAAATGCGCAACACCGTCAGCCAAAAAAAAAAAATGATTCAAAATCAACGCGATTTTCTAGCGTCTTGAAATTAGCACTTTAACCTACTAAAATTTAATTGGCTACAAAACTGCATACCCAAAATATTTAAATAGCAACATGTGGAACTTTCATACCATATGGTATGACGAAGAGTGCCCTGTCGCCGCTGCGGATAAATAATTATAGCTTGCGCGATCATTGAGCGATACCTGATGAGTGAAGAGAGACATATTTTTATGGAGTTGAAAAGAGAAACAGAAAGACGTGGCAAGCAGGAATTTGATACGAAAATATGGCAGCAATCAAATGAATCGGGGCTGGTTAATGATAAGATGAAGATTGAAATCGAGTAACGAACGTCCAGAGTGCATTTGAGATATGAAAAAAACACTTATCAACGATTTTGAATAGCGACACAGGTGGTGCGTTTGACGAAGAAGAGCCTGGGCCATACAAAAGGATAACAGCAATAGTGTTGCATAAAAACAAAAAAAAAGCCCCTAGAGCCGACGGACTGCCGGCTAAGCTTTTTACAGCCAAGAATGGAATGTCAGGGTACCTTTTCCAATTGACAAGAAGGAAGAAGGAGATACCAGTGTTTGCGCCAATTATCGCAAAATAAGCCTTCTTGATATTGTTCATAAGGGTGTATCGTCGATATTGTGTGATTAGCCCTTATCAGTATGGGCTGGTCCAACATTGACCAGATTTTCAACGTGCTTAGAATCCTGTAAGAACCACTAGATATTCAAATCGACACACACCAGGCTTTCGTCGGCTTTAAAGCCCCTTTAGCTTAGCTCGAAAATAAACTGCCTCTATGACGTCATATCTAAATTTCCGATCGCCGCAATACTATTTAATACGGTTATAACAAGTCATGTTAAGCTTTATCCAAACTGGTTAGGACCCCTGCGCATCGTTTGATATCAAACGAGGCCTTAGACGAGGCGATTCACTCTCGTGCGATTTCTTCAATTCTATGTTGGAAAAGAAAATACGTTCTGGCCATACGAACCGCAGCAGTACTTATCAAAAAAGCACGATACTGCTAGCGTAGGCCAATGATATTGACTTCGTCGGAGTCAACCCCAAAAGTTGTTAGCGCAGCCTTCTCTTACTAAAATACGAAGGCGAGAGGAGTTGTCCTAGCGATGGACGAGGACAAGACAAAGTGCAAGTGCAGAAACACGGACGATGTCGAATAAACATAAAATGGCTTTGAGTGTTTTCGAGAGCAATTTTCCATTACATTTAAGACACTGTTCGCGGGGGCGACGGCTACCAAATAAAATGGTATGGCGAATTCTACGAGCTTTACTCATAAAAAACATGTGAAGACCGTTTTTTTTGGTCGCGCCCCTATGCAAACAACGGTTTTAACGTCAAATAAGAAGAATATGTTTGGGCCTTCATTGATAGCAAGGTAAGAAGATTTCCCTAAGTAAGCAGTCCACTTTTTTCCTGCCTACAAATCCATCCAACAATTATGGAATAAAAGAGCTTAGGTGAATAGGTTGGTATGACTTTGGTTAGTCCGCCAATAGTCTAACTTCCTCGGGGATAAATACATACATACTTACATATATGATCCTATATAGTGTTCAGGAAAACTTCGAATCATTTGACTGGGTTAGTTGTAGTCGAGCTTGCATGAGGGTTGCATGAAAAAAACAATAAGGGTTTCAAAAGGCTACAACAAGCTACAGGAATTGCAGCTAAAGCGGGCAGACGATGTCAAAGGATATGTCTGCATATCTAAATACGAAGAAAATTTTACGAAAATAACATTTGACCATACAAATATAGTGCTTACGTACATACTTCGTAAGGAAGCAAATGGCAGACCATAGTCAACAAAAAAAAAATGCCAAAGCTCAACGGTAAGCCCCAAGTACTTCTAGCTTGTATTTTTTTGTATTACAATTGAATGAGCTACAAAACTGTGTACTTAAAATATTTCTACGAAATCCAATTAAAAAGCTCGAAATTTTTACGAAAGTTTGCTGATATTTTTTTTATTGCACAAAGCTTAAAACTTAGATCTATATGAAGAATAAACTATATTTTTATAAAAAAAATTAAAAAAGTAGGCAAAACTTTAGACGAGGTGAGTGCCGTATAGTTATGCTAAGCACTATATAAATATACCTATGTGTATGTAAGTACGTATTTTTTACTTGACAGTAAGCCAGGGGTAGTTTGTTTTTCTTTACATTTTACAATCTATATCTATGACGTGAACAATTTACTCGCTGAGTCAACTTGACAATGAAAGGAAATGATATTACATACATACATACACTTTATCATATCTTGACTTTTTATTTACTTGAACTTTTAGTTGAGTAAATTGCAATATTAAATATACAATGCCTTCGATTTTTTTAAACGAACGATAAGCTTTATGTAAATATATGCGAAAAAAATTATTAGATAGTGGGTGGCTTGCAGTGACATCCATGGCAAGGGATTTCATTAACAATTACTCTAATCAAAGTATTTACTCGTATCTTCCAGGCCAACTTAAGTGACGTCTAGACATACATATATGTATGTATATGTAGTTAATTTACATAAAAAATGTTTATTTTTCGAAAGCAGATAAGAAATGGTTAAAAGAGACGGCTTGTATTTAATAATATCTTAAAATCTTAAGAATTTTATAGCAATATTTTGTCAAGGATTATGGCGGATGAAATTTCAGCATCAGTTTATGGGATATATTGTACTGCATACGCTTATCTAGACTAAGGTATACATGCGCGAACTAAAGTCAAATAAGGCTGCGAGGAAGACCATTTTGGTAAATTAAACTAAGATTAGCCAATCAAATGTCAGCCAGATGTTAAATATGAACAGAATTTACGTGATCTAAGTTTAAACTGGCCGTAAGTTCTACAAACATACATACATATATCTCGTCGTTTAAAGTACAAAACCGCGTATCGTCGTTTTGCAAAACCGCTTATCCATTCGTCCTGAAATATACTAGCGATAAATGCGATTGCTTTATAAAACAAAAGTAAGTGCGCCGCCTGGGCCACACTGGAGAAGTGAAACTTACGTCACATATCTATTTTTACTCACAACCTATATACATACATACATATATCTGCTTTTGCCTAAGCTTATATTTTTTGTCTTTTTTCTATCTAGATCCCTACCTCTACCCCGGTTCGTTCGCATTATGTTATTTTGTTTTCCTTTATCTTCATACTCTATCGACAACAAAATCGATAGTAACATCCAACTAAATATCGATAACAAAACCGGTAAAAATATCCATAACAAGATCGATGACAAATTCGATAAAAAATTCGATAGCAAAATCGATAATAATATTGGTAGCAAAATCGATTAGAAAATCGATAATAAAATCGGTAAAAACATCTATAACAAAATCGATAGAGAATCGAAAACAAAATCGATAACAAAAATCTATTAAAAAATCGATAAAAACATCGGTGACAAAATCGATAAAAATCACGATAACAAAATTTATAAAAATATCGGTAACAAAATAATCCGAAATTTACTTTTGTTATGCAAAAACTTCTCATAAAAAAACTACTTGCAACTCGGAGGAGGTGTAACACTGTAGGCCGCTCTATGCACATCACAAATTCTAGGAGAAGCGCGGCCCAAACACTTTTTAAGAGGTCTCTATGTGTTAAGTTCTGAGGAATGCTCACAGCGAATGCGTAAGCAGAAAATGTCTGAGGCCCCATTTATTTATTCATTTCAAACCGAATGAAAATTGTCTTCAACCAACACTACTTTCACATCAAAATTTCAAGTCTTGTAAATATTTTATTTTCAGTTGTCATATAGATTCTGCACATTCATTCCATAAAATCGTGATTCAATAATAGAATCATGCCATAATATATAACTTTTACTTCTAATACATAACTACATACTTATAACTATATACATATACAATCGCAAGTCAATTTGATTAAAACACAGTTATGGAGCTGAAGACAATACTACGGATCGTGGAGCTGGTGAGCGAAATGCCTCCTTTACGCATGTGCCAAATTCGAAATTTAGGTCTCCTAGGTAATAGCTGTTGTTCTACTGGTCATTTGGTATGTTCTGGGCGCATATGCAAACAGGGTGATGATAGTGTGCGGTACTGTTCTTGGATTTGTCATCATTTGCGCTGTACTAGTGGCCCGTAAGCTATATATTAAATAATAAGATTTTTCATAAATATTTTAAATATGCATTTCTTCACAGTTGAATTCATGGACTTCCAAGATTCTCATGCCTTTACGTTAATTGGCGCTATTCTATTTATTATCTGTGGCGGAATAAGTATCGGCACGATGCCTGATTATGGTGACGGGAGGGTTACCTGCCTAATCGCAGGAATTTTATTCTTTTGTAATGGCGTAGTTTTTCTGGTTGATTTCATTTTTGAAATTAAAAATAGCTCTGGCGGCAGGGCCTAAGGACATGCGTACATAAATATGTATTGAGATAGTTTTGCCATTCAATTCACTGCAAATATTCAGAATATTTGAAATGATTAGATGCACGGTGCTAATAAATACATTTATTTGATTCCGAAATTAAACAAATACAGACGTTCCATGCGAAGACACGTTTTTTTCATCATAAAATCGAAACCTTTAGAGTATAAAAAAGTGTATGTGAAGAGAGTTGGTTAAATCATGATTTTTATCATGGGTTAAAGTACTTCCTCTTGGAATAGAGAGGGTCATAAGAGGTTGATAAATACACATATAACTTCAAAAAGAAAGTACGTTATGACTGTAGAGCGCTCGCTCTAAACATAAAAATTTATAGAAGTATATAACTTTGCTTGTTGCAGACTAATAGCTTACTGATAAGTACTGATTAACCAATCTAAACGAAGAAAATTTATAGAGATTTAAAAGTTTAAAAGAAGGGATTTATAGAATATGTTTTCATGTAGTCTTATAAAGCCCTTTTAGAATATACATATATATGCTCGTTATTCGAAACCCCTTTAAGAGCACTGTCTACGTGTAATGCCTTATAAAAAACATGTACCCTCTAACATGGGATTTTGTGTTATCCATCCCGGATTTTGCGTCTGAATGCTTGAAAAAGGCAAACTTCAGAATTCTCTTTAGACAATGAGTGTCCAAACTTTTTGTTTCCCTGGGCCCTATTGAAAGAAGGCATGGCGTTTTTAGCCACAATTTCAGTGCCATAGCCAATACCCAACGTTTTCACTTTAGGTGTGGTGAATTTGGTTGTGGTGAATTAAGGTGTGGTGAGAAAGTTAAGGTGTGGTGAATTTGGTTGTGGTGAGTTAAGGTGTGGTGAATTAAGGTGGTGGATTTAGGTGTGGTGAATTTATGACTCCCCACACCTTAATTCAACACAACTAAATTCACCACACCTAAACTCACCATACCTGTTAAGCCCACCACACCTTAATTCACCACACCTCAACTTTCTCACCACACCTCAACTCACCACACCTTAACCCCCACACCTCAACTCACCACAACCATTCTAATGATAAATAATTGTTTATTCCTTAGAAGTATAGTTTAGCCGTAAAAGGGGTGTAAAGGAAACATTATTGCCTATTTATATAATTGATGTAACTAAGAAAATTTCATGTTATAGCTAATCGCTGTGTATATTTTTTTTAACTTGTTTTCGTCTTGTCAAATTTTAATCTTTCGTGCTAAAAGAGCAATGTTTAGCCTTTTTTACACATTATTCAAAAGATTCTACCAAAGCCCGTTATTCCATTATAGATGTCCTAAAATTACCAAAAATTAGAATTCTGCCACATTAAAGTCAAAATATATCATAACAGCCAATTTCACGAAAGCAATTTAAGGGAAAAATTATTTTAATTTTTTAATTTTATATGGAAACTGACAGAAAATAAAATTTTATTTTCCACTTAAATTGCTGGTGAAACTGGCTGTAAACAAGTCAACGTTTACTCTCTGTGACGCAAATTTTTTTTGAAATTTTGTTGGCCTGTGTAATCAGGTGAACTTTGTCTTTCATTTTTGTCGTAAAAAAATAATATATTAAAAATTAAGAAATTATAGGTATTTTTTTATTAAAATAATAAAAAAAAATTAAGATGTAATGGGTACTTTTGCTCAAAATAATAAACTTTTTTTTTAAGTCAAGAGCAAATCGTAGTCCACAGCGAGAGAGGTACCTTCGAAGCGGTCGGTACGATAATTTTTCACTATATCTTTTTGTTCTCAATATCCAAAAATAGCTTTTGTTTACAGTCTCTGCATTATGACTTTTTAATTTCACGTTTTAACAGCTTAAAGTCTAAATTAAAACTAATATCACATAATTTAATTTGTAGTAGTAACAATTTTTCCAGTCCAAAAGCACCTTAACTTATATTAGTACCGATTCAAGTCGTAGGTATTTTTCGTTGTCTCCTTAATCACTGGCACTTCGCGGCGGCTACAATGATCATGGAAGTAAATCATAAAGAATTTATACGTAAATAATATAAAATGCTGAAGAAATTCAAATTCACATAAGCGAATACGAATAAAGCAGGACAAGGGAAAACATGAAGAAAATCTATTGCGATGACTCGAGTGAAATGAAAAAAAAAAAACAAATGTAAAAAACAATTTTTGACATGGTGAATTATATACTTATACATACTTGCATTTTTAAGGAGCTGCGCTATTTTAAATAATTTCACAAACAAAATTTAACCCATACTTTTTTGACTATTCAATGACAGCAGTGACGGACGCCCTGTGAGATTCTGTAAACCTTCATTTTGTTAATTATTTATACCCATACAAAATTCTATTTTTATTATTTTATTTGATAAAAATTTAAATTTTTATTCAAATTATACAAAATTAATACACACAGTTTTTCGTTAGTTTTTAAATACACAAAACTTTTCTATCTTGGTACAAATGCATAATCTGAAATATGTAAAAATATAAAAAAATTTTATTACATGTAAAAACTTCTTTGTGGTAAGATTTATCAAGTTTTTAACTTCAACCCAGTATCCAACTTTCACTATGATTTTTAATGATATTCTCAATTTTTCCACATCTTTTCGAAACTCCATTTCTCCTTTAAAATTTGTGTTTTCCTTCACTGAGTTATGAAGCTGAACTCGTAGTTTTCCTTGCTCGCCACACTGAGAAAACATTCAGCTAAATATGTTTCTCTCAGCATAAGATTTGGTAACTTGTAATTGTCGTAAATAAACTTTTTCTTCTCAGTGTAGTAAATTTAAAAAACGCAGCTTGTGTATTGTATGGAGGTATGTATTTATATAAAAGCATTTAATTCTAATAAGACAGACACAAAAGCGATACCAGTACATTTTTCGCATGGAGATTTTTTCATAAGAATTTTTTTTTGCGCAATAAATATGTAGTATGCGAGTATATATAATAACAATTGAGTGTGAAAGTGTGTATAAGAATTTATGTGGTTATGTAGACATGTACATTTATAAACTATGTAAAATGTGTATTTGTGTTACTCTGTACGGCAACATTAACATATATGTAGGTATGCATGTACATATGTATGTTTATGCAAAAGTATTACATATTTTATCAGACAAATTGTTGTGTGACATTTACGTTCGGCAAATAGAGAGTGTATCCAACAAGAAGACTGCACCATTAATGATCATCAACGAACCAGCTGCGAGTGCATTTCGCTTGCGTTCCTTGACCAGGAAGTTCGAGTTATCATGCCATTCATCGATGATAAGAGCACCAGAAATCACAAAGAGAACGCATCCAATAATCGAGATGAGCGCATTAAGACGCTTCTCTACAATCGAGTTGAGTATGTGTCCTAAAATAATAAAAAGAAAAAAAGAAAAAAAGATTTTAGTTAGCAGTAAAACTTTACAAAAGTAGCTTTTTTATTTTCATTAATATTTTAAGAATAGTTATTTATGAATATTTTTGTATAAATTCCCATCCTTTTTTGTATTTACTACTAGCCTAATACTTGCCCGATCATCTTCGAAATTTCAAAATTAAATTGGCCTAACAATTTACCCAACTAACAACTAACTAAGATTCTGACTCAAAGTCTGTGAACTACTACTTAAGTATTTAACGTGCAAAGTAAACCTTGCTTCAAGAAAATAGTTGGCCTTACACATATAAGATAATAAATATTTTTTTTTGCCACAATATTTTATATACTCGTAATTGAATAAGGATATTTTTTCTGCAGAAATCCGAGCTTATATTTGGACTTGTGGTAACCGAAGCGGCTTTATTTTTATCAAAATCAATGCAATAATACAATGGACCGAAATTGAAGAAGAATGGCTCTAATATTATAATTTTTTTTTTAATAAAAAAAATCTAAAATTTGCAGAATATTAACAATCACGACAGGAAAGTTCTTCGTCTAAGCTGCCTTAAAATGACGACTGGAAATTGGTGCTTTTTCGGCGAAAACAGGAGTTATTATAGCTCTAACGGTTTAGACAATTTCTTCGACCCTTTTTGAAAGGAGAAACGTTGTTTGATTAAACTCTAGGATCTGAAAGATAAATGAGAACTTAATTCAATTTTCTAAAGTTGTGCAAAATTCGTGCAAAAAATTAAAGAAATATCTTTTCAACAGTTTTCGCATACGCTTGGACCTTTTACCTAAATATTCCAAAAAACAAAACCACAGGTGCTACAAAAAGGGCGGTAGGAA